GCAGGGATGGGGCAGCTCGGTGCCACCCCACAGCTGTGGCCTGCAGGGTGGGGTGGGCTGAGCAGGGGGCAGCAGGAGAGGAAAGGAGCAGCAGGAAAGGAGCAGCAGGAAAGGAGCAGCAGAGTCCCTGCACGGGCTGGTTTGGAGCTGTTTTGGCCCTGGCTTTGCCAGGAATGCCTCACTCCTGGAGCAGGGCTCTGGCACAACTCCAGCTGCTCCTGCAGGGACAGGGACAGGGACAGCAGTCCTGACCCTCCCCGTGCTCCCACCCAGCTCCCACAGCTGGACATTCCTGGGAATTCACTGCAGGAAGCACCAGGACAATGCAGATGGATGGGTTTTCAAGTGCAGCTGTCTGTGAATCCTTGGGATATCCTAAAATGCCTCTGTTCCTCTTCTTCTGGGCCAGGACTAGAAACAGGACTCTTGGGATTCAGGGTCGGGGTGGATGGGAAGCTTCTCTTGTTCCTGGTGGTGCCCGTTGTGTAACACCTTGTACCTGGCAGGGGAACACAAACCTTGGTCAGTGCCAGCTCAGAGGCCAAACTGATGGAAAATGAGATCAACAATCCCCAAAGTGTATTTAGGAGAGTAGTTCTTCCAAATATCCAGATTCCACATTAAAAAGTGTGAATCCCGGCTTTGGGAATGAAATCTTCAGTGTGGAGCAGTCAAAGCAATCCCTGAAAACCAAGAAGCTGTTGGGTTTCAGGTGTCTGAGGTGAGCTGCACTGCCTGAGTGTGGGCTGAGGATGCTCCTGCAGGAATTCCCAGCTGGATGCTGGCTCCCAGCATGGCCAGGACACTGAATGTGCAGGTGTTTCCCTCAAACACCTCTTGGAACTCCAGCACTTCAAACAAGGACCAGAAATTTTTAAAATGTGCTCCCAACGAGTCACAGACTGGATGTCAGAGACAAGCAGAGACATTTTCACCTCACACTGAACAGACTCCAACGAGACAGCCACAGAAAGAGCACAGAGCTGGGACTGAGGGACCAGGTCAGACAGGGACACTGTGGGACACAATCCAGCCAGGACACCTCGGGAATGCCAAAGGCTCTGCCACGGCTGGGACACGAGAGAGCCCTGACAGCCGGGGCAGCTCAGCACCATGGACAGGGACCGGGAAATCCAGAGATCCTGATGGACAGGGACTGGGAAATCCAAGGATCCTGATGGACAGGGACCAGGAAATCCAAGGATCCTGATGGACAAGGACTGGGAAATCCAAGGATCCTGATGGACANAGAGCCTGGCCATGACAGGACTAGTGGGAGTGCCTGTGGGGCTGGCAGCCAGGAGCAGAGCTCGCAGCCCCCGGGCTGGCAGCTGGACTGCAAGGAGGAGTACCCACGGAGACCCCTGACCAGGGCCAGGAGCAGGCTGTCCCACGTGCCTCTGGTGTCAGAGCCAGGTAGGACTCGCAGCCAGAGGAACTGCAGCTCCCCAGGAGCTCTGGTGTGCACCTTGTTAGTCAGGGGTTTAAACCTGAGTGGTTTGCAAGGTCAGAGCTTGATGGAGCAGAGGTGCCATCACCAGGTTTCTCTGAAAGTGCCACTGACTTTTTCCTCCATGCAGCTCTTCTATAATTCTAACTAGTATTTGCTTCACTCCATTGAAAAGCAAATGCAATTTTTTGGTACTCTGCCTGCCTGTGGAGGCTGTGATTCATTGAAACAGAAGTTGTCTCTCCATTAAAACCCTCCCTGCAAAGGCAGCAGCTACACTTAGATCTGAACAAGAAGGCAAAGGTTATAACTGGTGCTTTATCAGCTAATGAAGTCATAATTACAATTGAGCCAGGCTTTGGACCTGCATTGGGTTCTGCTTCCAAGGGTTTAAGGCAGGGTGATCAAACTTACTGAAAATTGCCCTTTTGTTAAACACCTTCATGCTTCACATGATTGTTTTGTTCACCTGACATAAAATAAAACCCCTGAAGGGCTGGAATGAAGGGAGAAAACAACAGATGTGAGAGGGGAACTTGCTGTTTCTTTCAAATATACTTGGTTTCCAAAATAATCATCTTAGTGTTTACAACCTCATATATCCAGGATTCTTTGCTGGGAATGTCTGGCAGGTAAAATGAACCTGAAGTTGAAATGTGCTGCTTACACAACTGTGAGTGCTGGAGGTAGGGATGATTGAGGGCAAATTCCTGCCTCTGTTAACATGGAATGATTCAAACACTTCATATCCTGCTGTTCTTCCAGTTTATTTAATGCTCCCACGTGTTAACAAAACCTAAATCACCTCAGATGTTCTGCAGGTAGATGCAGCTCAGGTTTCAAGAAGAGATTTTGCTAATAAATTTAAAATGTCTGGTTTCTGCCTTAGGACCAGTAATTAATTTGGGGATCTTTGTGCACATGCCATATGTTTTAATAAAGACAGCTTAGTTTTAGTGAAATAATTTCTCATTTTGCTGTGTTAATGACAGAAAATTAATTCTAGGGCAGTTTTTTCCTCTTTCTGTTGGAAGTAATGCTTGTGGTGATTTTTTTCCAAAGACTCATCTGTCAAATCAAGCAGGAATTTGAGGTCCCTGGTGGAGCTTGGGAACATTAAAGGATTTTATACCTGGGCATCCTTTGCAGTATTAGGAAGAACTTTGTGACAGTTACAAAGAACAGATTTTCCAGAAGTTTGAGATAATTTCTGCTATTTAAACATTAAAGCTATTTTGGGTCTTGCATCTGTCAAGGATGTTCTGTTTCCTGCAGAGATTCAAGTGTAACCTAAGCATGAATCTTTTCTTTTCCTGGCTCCACATCTTGCTGTGGTGTAGGTTCAGCATTCCTGGTTTTTCACTGTAAAGTTATTTATTTAATAATTCTGAGCACCAAGCTGGCAGTGGGGTTTGAGCAAGCAGAGATTTGTTCTGAAGCCAGGCAGGGGTTTGGATTTACCTGGGTGGGAAAAGTTGTCATGGGCTGTTCTCAGCTGTCCTGACGTGGAGCAAAGATTTTGCCATGTTTTTGTTTCCAGAAGTAGCAAAGCCAAAGCCAAGGCAAACCACCAAGAGGAAAAGGACAGCTGACAAATCCACCAGCACCAGTGACCCTGTGATTGAGGATGATCATGTTCAGGTAAGGGCTTTTCCTTCACCCCTGCAGCTTCAGCACCATGCACACCTGTTGGGAACTGAAGCTGTATTGTATTTATTCATATCCTCCTGCATCTCCTAAAATTCAATTTGTTGTTCTTTCATTTTTAAACCTTTCATACTTTTTTTTCCCTTTTCTCCAGGTACTGACTTTGAAATCCAAAAACCTTGTAGGAATCACATTGACCAACTGTGGAATAACAGATTTGGTGCTGAAAGACTGCCCCAAAATGATGTTCATCCATGGTATGTGGTTCATGGCAGGGCTGCCTCCTCCCTCTGGCATTATTGGAGATTCCAGAAAGAATTCAAGTCAGGCCACTGCTCATTTTGTATTCATCAGCTGCATTGCTGATGAATTAGAACTCCAAATATTGCTGCTTCCCACTCTGAATGGCTCTTATAACAGCTTTAATAAAGATTAATATCTGAAAATCAACAGCTGAAATGATCTGACAATTAGGGAGATGAGATGTTTATTGAAGAGTGGTAATACAGTAATTAGGAGTTGATGAAATGAGTTTGAGTACCTTGTTTTTCTCTCATTTCTTCATTCTCCCCTAGGTTTTTCAGCTGACAGGATGATACTTCTGCTCCCTGACATGATAAAAATCTGTTTGCAGTGCTGGCACTTAGGTTGCATTAGTTTCACATGCCAGGGTGTGACTGCTCCTGGATTGGGTCATTTATTGCTTTCTGCACCATCCAAATGAAGACTTTTTCTTCTGACATCAGATCTGTCTGCTTAGCAGAAAGAAAGGAGTTGTTTCTTTATTCTAGAATACTTAGAGCACACATTGGTTTTGAAGACAATTTTCATTACATGAGCAGTGTTGCTAGAAAGGAAACAATTTTATTTTCCATTGTGCAGCTCCCCAATCCTCTGTGTTTGAGCTGATGCTGGAAGTTGTGGCAGTCCTCAGACCATTTCAGTGAAAGGAAACAGAGGGAGGAAAAGGTTATTAGATTAATTTTGACATGGCCTTTTAAAAGGCCACTTCTGGCAGGGTCACAGCTGAAAAGTTTGATGATAATATGGAGAAAATGAAGAGCTGGGCTATATCTGATGTACTTATGTAATCTTTTGGAACTTACATTGCTTGTTTGCCTTCTTTTGAACCTGCCAGCCTTGAAATGCACTGTCAGGAGGCTCCTGAGGTGTTTTATTTCCTTTTGCAGCCACCAGGTGCCGTGTGCTGAAGCACCTGAAGGTGGAGAATGCCCCCGTGGTGAATCGCTTTGACTACGCCCAGTGCAAGAAGCTGAACATGGATCAGGTGCTGGATCAGATCCTCAGGATGCCCCCAGAGAGGAACAGGATCATCTACCTTCGTCCCATGCAGCAGGTACAGAGCCAGCCTGGCCCCCTGGCAGCTGGGGCAGGGAATGGGACAGCAGCACAACCCTGACATTTGGTGCTTGAACCCGCCAGGGCCTTCATTGCAGAGCCTGCTGCTTGTATTTTAGGATACTCTGCTGGATTAAATATTAAAGTTCACTATCTCCAGTATTCACTGCATTAGAGGGTATTGTCAACTGCACTCTTAAAGGTGCAGAATTTGATATCCAGCATAAACAGAACAGGTGACTGGGGATAGCAGCATCATAAAGTCACCCTAGGACAGAGGCACTGAGTTCATTCCAAACTAAATAACTCAGACTGTGAGAGCCAGGCTGCTCCTGGTAGCTGTGTGTGAGCAGAGCACGGCACAGGGTCTGCAATCCTTGATCCATGTCCTGTAAGAGTGAGGAACAGCAGAGTTTGGGGTTCTGGAGGCTCCATCCCCTCCTGATGCTGGAGTGTTGCAGGAACTGGTGGGACTGGGAACCGCCCTCTCCTCCCCAGGCTGTGCAGGAGCTGGAGGACATTTAGGGAGTTGTTTAAATCATCTGATGAGGATTTATGAGGGCTTCATTTAAGATCTGTAAGGTTGGAAATGTTTGATTTTATCCTTCTGTGGTGCTGCTCCTCTCCTGCTTTCCTGTCTTGGTTTGTCAACAAGGGAAGGTTCATTGTACATAAAATCCATAAAATCAGCTTTGCTTTGAAACCACATCTCTTAAATGACAGTGGTAAAAATATGACATGGAAATAAAACCCCAAATCACCGATACCCTCCTTGTAACAAAAATTCTGAGGAAAAAATGTAGTTTTAGACCATTCTGTAATTTTATGGAGTTTATTTCCGCATTGGAGTTGGGAAAGACATCAGAAATGAGACATTTCCCGTCCAATTCCAGGACTCAAGAAGATAAACTGGCAAAGCTGCCCTGGGGAGGTTTCACTGCCCTCAGTCCTGTATTTATTCGTGCTGTTAAAACTCTCTGCCATTGCTGCATTTCCCAGGGATTTGGTCAATCCCCGTTTGCTCTTGACTCTGCAGCCCCTGG